ATGTTTGATGATCTATCTAAAGTTGGTCTAGGATTAGATTGAGTCGTTGGCTTCAGGCCTTTTAATAAGATTAGATCGCTCAATTCATCATCTGTCTCTGTCTCCATCGACATGTTCGGGAACGGTTGGAAGGTATCTGGATTCTCCGACGTTTAGTTTTGGTCGGCTTGTCCCAATGGGGATCGGTCGCTTTCTGTTTCAAGTGGAGTACGAAGTCGCTTCCTCTGCTCTTCTTCCTCGCAGAAGGGTCTCCATCGAGCTCTTCATGGCTGCATTTCGTCTGGCAAGACCAGGTTGTTCAACGTTGGCTTGAAGGTTTCGTTTTCTCTGTATCGTCTTCGAGGTCTTAAACCCAATGTTTCTACCTGGGTCTATAAGCCTATTCAGCCCTTTTGTGGCATAAAACTTTATCAGCTGGTGCTTTTTTCGAGGGCTCACTTGTTTTGTTTCTGCTGATCTTTTCACCGCTCAATCAAATTTATGGATTACTTCATATATTATTAGTCTTAAGAGTTATAGTATGATCTGATTCCCTCTCTATTTCTTCTTTAAGTTCTTTATAGTACGGTTCATCCTTTTTTCTATCTTGAACTTTTCTATAAAAAAGGTTCTTACCCATTGGGACACTCAGTACGGGATTTACTACCCCTTACACCTTTCGTTTCTCCGCATGCGAGAGGACCTTGACAGGAGAACCCGAGCTGGAGGGTACATAATTTGTTGCTTTAGCAACGTCGTCTGATGAGGACGAATCTTCGTCGATAAGTCCGTTCTCGATGACGTCTGGAGCGTACATTTCGTGTAGTCTGTCTTGGCCTAACAGTTTCAAACTAGATTTTTTGAGGACGGGTGTTTCACCAAATTATGCCAGATGATGTTAGGTGTTCAACCAAATTGTGCGTCGGAGGGTGAGCATGAGCAGTTTAGAGATTGTTGTGTTACGGTTCTTATGCATTTTATGATTTTCAAAATTGCACATTCTAGAGGAAGTTTTGGTTTTTGCAGTGCCATGACCATAAGTCGTTTTTGATGGTTCTAATTAATCTTTGGACTAAGCCTGTGGCTCTGTTGTCACTTACTGGGCTATATAAAACGTTTAATTTTTGTCCTTGACAAAACTCACGAACTTCTTTTAAGATGATAGTCGACTCTTGGTCCATTCTAATAGTTCTAGGTATCCCGTGTAGCGCTACATATTTTTCTAAGGATATTTTTGACTGACTTCGAAGATATGCTTGTTATTATTTGAGCTAAGCGGAATTCCGAATATCGGTGTAAGCATACGAGTACATATTTTTTGTACGCCAAGTTGATGTATCGGGCCGGCGAAGTCTAAACTCCATATCTTGGTTTGGTTCGACGACCGTTGGGAATTTCACGAGATCTCCTTGTTTCAAGGTATGAGATTTTTACCTGCTTTTACACATTAAATCCATTTTTTTCCGTGCAATTGTATTTCGCGGAAGATCTTCAATCACCAGGTACACATTGTAGCCAAACTCTTGAAGGTAAAATGACCGAGGTGAGCTTCAAGTAGTCGGCGAAGCATTGTAGTCCTCAGGCACACCGGAATCACTAATCCTCCGTCAAAATACTGACACGCCTCATTGGCGTGCAAGTTGTTAATGTTTATTTTGATAATAATATTAAGATTTATAATAACATCCCTTCTGTAAAAATTCCTGTTTTCGGTCTTCGTCTCATGCTTTAAGGATCTTCTTTAAAACGAGATCTTAATTAGTAAGCAGAGCCATGAATTCAGTGTCAAGAATTTCGAGCCAAGACAATGGGATTGATTTCTTTTTTATGAGTTTCGGGCTCTTGTCATGTGTAATCTGATCTTTTGTCGTATCCGTCAGATTGCTTGTACTGGGTACAGTAGGAGGGGATTTGTTTTCAGCGGAGTTATATGAATCTGAAGGAATTTGTTCTATTGAATCGATCTAATTGGGAAATTTTTTTAAATTTTGAAGTTTGCGGAAGAATCAAACGCTTGACATTATGGAGTGCAGTCTTCTGTGCGCAAGTTAGAACTTTGGCACACTGAAATTTTACAATGCGCATACAAAGCTTGCAAAATTACTGCAGCATTCTCAGTTCGATTCTAAAACTCAATTTCTTTTGCTGTTAACTTGTTATCCGATAGACCAATCAAGTTGCAGTGTTTTGGATCATATGATTTTATTTGCTGTGAGAACTTTTCTTTTATTGGTGAACGAGAATATCTAGACATCATATTGTCGAATCCAAGGGGAATAATAATATGATTTACCAAAGCGATCACGATTTTTTTTGTCGTCATTATATTGTCAAAAGCAAGGATCATTTTTTTGTTGAAACCAAGGAGAACACTTATATGATATAACGAGGCTATCAAAAACTTTTTTCAATTTTTCGAGCTTGTCGGTGATAAGCTTAAATTCGGATATGTTAAAAAGCAGCTGGCAAACGCTACCATTCTCCGAACTCTTCAGTGGTTTTGCTCAAAGGAAGCGCCGAAACCTAAGTGAGATGCATTGCATTTTACTCATTCTTTATGTTTGACGTCGAAGTGGTGGTTTGATACCAAGTTACAGATTTCTTTTTTTAATTGTCTCGAACGCCGTGAGATGTACGTCTGACCATTTAAACTGTTTCTTTTTTTTCATTATTTCTCTGAACGGTGTAGATAGGGATGCTACATTTGGAATAAGTTTATTGGCTTGGTTGATTGAACCCATCAGCAATCTAAGGTCTTCGATGCAATTTGTATCTTTATTAGGCTACAAAATACATCAAATTTGAGGATCAAGGGAGTGGTCCTTTTTGCATTGATCTTAAAACCCAGCCACCTAGGCCATAAAATCCACTTTGATTTGGTTTTCCAGATTTGGTTTTCCCTGTGACTACTAATTGTTAAGGCGACATTATCAATTAGTTGAACAAGTCAAGCATTTGATATCTATTGCGGAATATCTGTTTATTTAGCAGTTTCGAATTCAATGCTAGTTGAATTGATCCCTCTCTTTTAGCTGTTATGACAATTTGGGATATAGAACATTCTTAAGAACATCTAGAGAGTTTTTCTACATGGCCGTTGTTTAGTTATTGATCGATACAGGGTTTAACTTTCGGCAGTAGGTCTCTAAGATTGCGTTTCCTTTTATAACCTGTATCGCTTTTAAAGGTTCGTTGAAGTATCTATTTACAGTAAAATTTTTGTTTGCTTGTTCCTAATAAAAGGTTGGGGGTGTATTAGATATGTACAATTTAAACTCACGCTGTTGAGGTGTGTCGGTTGTTGAACTTGACGGAATGTCTGAGTCAAACTTGATCTGGCTTACTTCTCTCCCGACAGGAGTTTCCTTGGGAGATGCCCATGGTTTAAATTGTGCGAGTTGGGCCTGCTCATGAGATACCTTTAGCCCCAAAATTGGCAAGATTTCAATGTTAAGCAAGTTTTTTTCTGCACCCTTAGTGATATATAAATTCTAGTTTTTACAGTACCATTCTTTCGATTGGATCCTACCGCGACTTTCACGATAATGTTGATCGTGCTTCAGAAACCTTGATCAGCCCTTTTCGAGTATTCGTCCACTGCTTTGATTCTTAGGAGTCTGTTCCTTACTTTAAATTCGTGGAGTAGGTCTTTTTTCATAAAAACTACTGGGCTGGCTGAATCGATTTATATTTCAGTGAAGAATTGATTACGATTTCCAATTGACATCCTATCTTGATGGCTAGATGAGTTCTTCCAAAAGAACTCTAGCCTTTGTAGGTTCGATTCCTTCGACTGCGCCATGTTAAAAAATGATAATAATTTAGAGATAAAAATCACTCTAAGACCGAAGAAAGGTTACTTAAACTAAGACTAGCTTAAGATTATGTACCATGCAAGAGTATCTCTACTAACTAAAAGTTAGTAGACCTTCAATCTAAGACTAGATTAAAAGACAAATATGTTAAAGTAAGATTCTAAGCTACCTAAGGATTTAAAAGTCAGTTTAAGAAATTGAATTAAGATTGATTTTGAAAACAAAACATTGAACAATTTCACAAAGATCCAAAAGGCGATGCGCTTTTGGCTAGCATTTTAGTCAGAATTTAGAACGTAGATAAGACTACAGGTTATAAGATACATTTCGACACAACCTCAATTACAGAAATACAAAATTAAAAACAACTTTAAATACAATCTCAAATACAGAAATACATATGCAAAAAATTATGTCTTGATGTTGGCGGCGCCCATGAAGTTTTTTGCTCATTTTCCGCTTGTAATTTGAATTAGACTTTGTCGGGGTAATAAACCTTCCAGTTAGTATATAAATATGTTTGTCTTTCTCCTCTTTTAAAAAACAAACGATTTTTGAAAACCTTGAAACCACGCTTAAAATCATAACAACATGTTTTTTGTCGCTGAGGCGTGAAATTTTCTGTAGTTGTCGTAATCTGGCTTTTCACGATAGTTTTTCATTCTGTTAAAAAATATGCAGGAACAACTGAAAGCCCACTACATGCATTCAATTTTTTGGATTCCAACCAACGTCTTTTTTTTTGTTTACACTCTTCAATTCAAAAACTTTCTAAACCCATTCTTCTGCATCTTATTTGCCTCGATTTTGTTTTATAGGAGCCCTGCACAGATGTTCAGAATAGTCACATTCTTTCTCAAATGGAGGAGATTGAATAAAGAATAAGTGTGTAATATCCGGGATTTTTTTTACTGAAAACCCTTTTGCTCTAGGGCTCTCAAGCCGTTCCATAGTGTTCTGATATACATATAGCTGTTTTTTTTTAAAAAAATTTTAGATCTGAGGTTTTTAATCTATGAATGAATCCATTACCGATTGTATTTTATAATGAAACACATTTCCCCAGCCAGTTTATGACCGGCGACATTCAGATGTTGCCGCTGCGAAAAGGTGCATTTTGATTAATCGGTGACAGAGCAAGGAACGAATGCTCGAGCAGTAGAAGCAATTGTATTTTTATTATTGTTTTGTTTAGACTCCACTTGCCAATAACAACCTGACCTTATCCTCAAAATACCATTTAACACGATTCTTTTGTGAAATAAACACCGTGTTTCATTTGGAAAAAAAACGCAACAAAATGATGTCCTCAATTAGGTTTTCCGAAATTTCAAACTGAAGAAATTTCTGCTTTGTAGCTACCCAGCAAATTACTCAAATTTTTGAATGTAATATAAATTTTGTTAATTGGCGTTCTGTTACAGTGAATAGTAAATTAGTCAATTTTTGCCTACTTTTGAATTATCATTGAAGTTATTTTCTGAGTCTACTTTTCAAATACTTATATTCTGAAGAATGGATTCCAGAAAGCGAAGCAGCTCCGGAGACAAATCAACGACAAAAGCTGCTGGCAAGCTGCTCTCAGCATTGAAGAGAAAAACGAGTGCAACTGGGAGTTCAGACAAAAGTCCCACTCGAAATTCGTCGTCCGATAGAACCCGAAAGAGTGTGGACTTCGGCCGAGTGAAGACTTCCATTTCGGTAGTGGGCGGGTTCGGGGGAGGGAATGAGTCGTTTAACGGTGCGGCTAGCAAAGAGGCCGCTAAAATGGTGAGCGAGTGGGTGAAAAGCGGGTCGGAGAAGACAGCTTGGGCCTCAGACATCGCCAAGATCATCAGTGCTAAGTTGAAGTTAGTCTTCGTTTTTTTAGTCTGCTGTTAAAGAAAAGCAAACATTAAGAACAAAGACGCAATGAAAAAAAAAGATTAACAAGCTTACTTATTAATTCCCTCGAATTAAGACAAAAACATTTGAAACCGGTTTTTCTCGAAAATGGAAAACTTTTTCGAAGTTTTTAATGTCGTTCAAATCACGAATGAGAGGTCTTAAATATAGATATATCACTCAACTCTCTCCGATGATTATTTGTGGCACCTGACTTTGCGTGGGTAAAAAAGAAACTAGAACTCCCGAATACAAAGTTCCTACCCATTTTTAACGGTCGGAACAATAACACAAAATCAATTACTTTTGATTTCCGGAAATTTTACATGCATAGGGGAAATAGTTAACAAATTCCAAAAGAAGGGGGAATAGTTACCAAAATCTATTTTGCTAAAGAAAATCAAACGTTAAGCCATTATAGAACTTTAAAGTTGTTAATTTGCCAATCACTTTTGATATTTGAAAATTTTGTCAGATTTGCATTTTTCAGCCAGCACTATTAGAATAAACTTGTAACGCTACTGCTGAAAAAAATATATGTCTGACTTGGCTTTCGTGTTTCAGATTGCAGCACTCGGTGAAGCTTCTGTCCAACCAGGTGACTCAGCTCGAAGCCGAACTGGAAGTGTACCAGAATCTGAACAAAGACAGCAAACTGGAGAAAATTGAAAGCCCACCTGTGAGTCTCTATAAGATTTTTGAATACTAAATAGTAAATATTTTAGATTTAGTATAGAAGGATAGAAAATATTTAGTTTCAAAGTATAGCAGGATATATACCTCTATTTCAGTTTGCCCAGCGCTAAATTACATTATGTTTTTGTACCCTGTGTTTCATCTACTTGATAGCATTCTAACCTATGCATTAACCTCCCCCTCCCCTCCTCCGAGAGCTCGACTCCTAAAAACGCAAAAGATCTTATAACCTTATTTGGTGTTATATTAAACCATCGATTTTTGGTGAACAACTCTCAAAATTTTCTCGCAAAAAAGTGCAAGTTTTTGGTCAAAACTTTCCAAAAAATGCCCAAAATCGTTTTTTGGCACAATTTTTTTTTCAAAAGTTTGCCTGCTGCGCAGCTATTTCTGTCGAAACAAGGTCTTCTTCTTAAGAAAGTAGGCCGAAGAATTTTATGAAATTTTTTAATATAAAATTATGTCCTAGATTGTTCCCTAAAATATCCTACTGTTAGTGATGTTTTATTTCTTGTTACCGACAACCAATTTTAATAAAATCTATTAGCAGATTGTTTTGTTTTCCTGGTTTTCCATTTTCTGTCATTTGCGTCTTCTCTGAGAGTTTCTGGATGACAGCATATGCACAGTAAGCAACCAACATTTCTCATCTGACAACCGAAATGTTATCGTTTTTCAGGAGCCCATTGAGCCAGAACAAGATGACAGAGAGTTCGAGGAATCGGGAACCCAAACAGAAGACGTGACCATATTTTCAACACAGCTCAAAATTGATTCGTTCACTCAGACCCCAATCAAAACATTTGCAAGCTCTTATCAACAATGCACGAATTTAACAGTCGTTGTCGAGACTTCATGTCAAACAGAACAAGATGTCAAACTATGCGAGCCTGTTGCGAACTTTGAATGTCAAACGGATCCGAATCTAACTCAAAATGAAACTGCGACGGCGTCTCAGCAAACAAAAGAGTCAAGTTTCATTTCAAAGTGCGACCAATTTTGCCAATTCCCAGAACTTGTAGCGAAGGTTCTTCCCGTAAACGTACAATGGGAGACTACTAAACCATTAGTCCACATAACGACTTTACCTGCGCTAGCCTTAGTGAAGCGTGAAAGCAGTTCGCTGAAAAAACTTGTAACTGTGAACAAACATGCGCTGAAAACGACAAGTGTGCCGATAGTTCAAAGTCCTCGGCACGGGAGGAAAAGTCGTTTCCTTCAGATGGATATGTTCACGCCTGAAGAAGCGCAGCTGCGGGCTTCTATTTTGAATGAATATCTGGAGAATTATCTCGAGACCAGAGAACAATCGCCCGAGAAAAGCGCCAGAAATAATCACCAGAAAGTTTCGTTCAATCAACAGCAAGCTACCATAAACAAGGTAAGCTAAATTTTGAGCATGAATATCTTGAACCCGTTTTGCAGTATTTTATATTTGGGGTTTAAAAACACTGAAATTCGTGTGGTTTTCAGTTTCATTCAATAATGATGAAAATATATTTGCAGGAATTATCAGAAGTGATCGAAAACAAACAGCGTCAGTTAGAAGCCCTAGGGAACCTTCAAAAGCTTTACTACAACCCCAGAGGTCGACTCCAGCTTTCCTCGAACCCCAACACCAAAAATTCAGCCGGACTTAACCCATCGCGACCTCAAGGCAGCAGAAGCAGGAGATGCCTGCGAAGGAATCATCAGAAGTTAGTGGTCAAGAGCGACTCAGATTCGAACAGTGCAAATTGTCTTCCGTCGATCGACCCGAACAACAACCGAATGAGCCTGAACAAATTACTACCTGCGTATGTGTACAGGGCACTTAATCCTGACTGGAACGGATTTGATCCAACTTCAGTGAGTTGATTTTTCAAAAATAAACATGAAAGTTAAACTTATTCATTTTGAGTCGCTTAAAAAACGAGGACAAATAGAATTTGCCGTGGTGAACTGAGTTTATAATAAACATACTGTTTTAGAAAAAAGCAACATCACAAAGCAATTGCTTTTTTGTTGGAAACAAAAACAGCGAGTCATTAAATTTCTTTGCAGGATGAAACTTCTGCCGGAGAATTGATGAAAAGCAGGAGTGCGACTCGAGGTGGTAACACTGCCAGCAACTCAAGACTCCGCAAAAGGAGTGCCAGTGGACCCAGAAGCAACAACAACCTCCCCCTAGGCCACTCTATCCTGAACTGGAATGTACCTATGCCCCATTGCAAGTGCGAGTCATGTGCCCTCATGCTGCCCTCCTCCAGGACAAGCTGGGGTCACGATAACTTGAAGCTCAACAGGTCAGTGAGATAATCACTACAACAACATTACTTCTGCAAATATGGGAGGAAGGTGTCACTTTTCGCCCCACATTTTGACGCGACTTTAGACGGCGAAATATGGGAAAACATTACGGATTGCAATCGTTTGTTTATCTTTCAGTCGAAAAACAATTCGAGCTCTTTTTTTCTGCTGACTGCACTCAAAAACCACTTCAGGTAAAAAAAACTTGCAAAGTTAAGTCTCGACTTCAACCACGAAGCAAAATTGACCCGAATTTAACTTATTCCCTGACTATTTCAAACTAAACCTTGTTTGTTTAGTCTGTCGGTGAAAGTTGGTTCTCGAGTAGCAGTGCAGCCCAGGCGAGATCTGATTGGTCACTTCGACGCCCTCGGGGAAGACGCGAGTGCCCCCGCCCCCTATCCAGTGACTGGTGTGGTGCGCTACTTGGGCCATGTTTCCCGTCTCTGTCCCTCCCAGCCCAATGGGGTTTACGTGGGAGTGGAGTTAGATGACCACGTTCTACATCTTAACCCAGGTATGGCATCTTGTTGCAAAAAGGGGAATTCGTTGCAAGGTACCAAATTCATATATCGTTAACCGTTGCTTCAATTCAGTACAGGGCTGCCATTATAGGGGGTAAGGGAATATTTAGCAAAATACTTTATTACGTTATCTTTATGAGGAAAATGAATTAGACTCCTAGATAAAAAAAAAATTAAATTTTTCCCTGAAAAAAAATCAAAAAACAATAGTTCTTAGTTAAATCTTCACTGATATCCGGAAAAGAAGACAAAATGAGCTCTGAATAATTTTAACTCAAATTCGGAAAAGGGTTTTTTTTCTAAATTAACCCTTATTGAATACTTCAGCATATACTTGACTAAGCATATAACTTTAAAAAAATTGATGAAAATGTTCATGAAAAAGCAAATGTTTTGATTGTGTGTAAAAATTCCCTTTGTTTCAGATTTGGGCAACTATGTGGGCGACGGCAGTTTTCTGGGACGGAGATATTTCACAGCCAAAAACAATTCAACCTCAGCCCTGTTTGTCCCCATTCAAGATGTGTTCCCAAAAACTAGCAAGACACCAGATATCAGAAGATCGTCAACGAACAGAAGAAGATAGAACAAAGATATTACAGAAAGATATTGTCACACCGAAATGTTAACTTTCCAAAATATGGACTTTTTGTATTTCTTCGATTGTTTTACATATTTGATTTCGAGGTTCAAGTGGTGTTGTGTTATTTTATAAATATGGCCACTCGATTGATAAAATTTTGAAAAGTAATCATGGTTGGAGCGGTTATTAATTGAGCCACACGGACAAGCGTAGGATCGCACTATTGATCTTAACAGCTCCTTTTCATTCAATTTAATTCGTCACCGTAATCAAGGGCGGATCTAGGATTTTCTCGAGGGGGGGGGGGGGGGGGGGGGTTTGGCGGATTTTCAAATTTTTTTCTTGGGTCGACCAAATTGATTTTCTGAGCTCTCCCAAAGCACTAAAAAGACCCTGTTTTGGCCAAAACTTCTGCGCCGCTGACAAAATTTTGAAAAAACAGGCCAAAAAAGGCGTTTTTAGGCACTTTTTGGAAAATTTTTATCAAAAAAATCGCGTTTTTTCGGCGCGCGCTCCCCCTCAAAATTAGTATACATTGGCGCCAAAGGCGCCTTTAGAAAAATTTTAGGGTCCGTCACCAAAAATGGATAACTCAAAATAGTACAAAGGGGGGACCCTTTGGGTTGGCAGGGGGTCGAATCCCTGAGGGGAGGAGAGCCCCCTTAAATCCGCCACTGACCGTAATCCTTTTACACCGTAAATGAAGCATTTTATCCAGTGGTACCTGCCAGTTAATTATCATTTGAAGATATCATAAAGGAAAAACCATTAGATAATTGTAATCGTCGCGAAGTCCATTTGTTACAAGAAAGAGAATACCGAACAAACTTTGAAAAAACAGACTGCAGGTATCAATGATGATTCAAAACTAAGGAGAGAAGAAGTCTTGCATCCTTGGGAGGGCAAAATCGACAATTTGGAAGACGTAGTCAAGCAGAAACTGACAAATTGTTAATTTCAATGTGAATCATGTTTGCGCGAGAAGCTTATAAAGTTTAATTTTCGCTGTCAAACAGATAACTGAGAAAGAACTAGTAAAATTACGAAATGGTGAACTGCAATTTACGAGAAGAATTTCTTCTCTTAAGGATGAAGTAGTAGAAATGTCTGAAAAAGAATTGTCGTTGTCTGAGAGATCTGTCTGGTGTATTGTTGGAATTTCAGCTTAGATGTGTGGGTGGGGTTTTCGCGGGTTTGGTTAGCATTGGGGTGTTTAATTCCGCTTGAGTGATGAACTTCATGACTCTGGCAGCGCATTCAGCCATATTTTCTTCGACTGAAGCTGAGATATCCGTGGACTGATTGTTATTTGCTATTCCGATATGGTATACAAAAGCTACTAAAAATCTCTTAACAAAAAGTTTGATAGTCCAGCGGTTTTAGAAGACATATGTAAACAAAAGGGGGTATCCGGCTTGTTGGGATGCGTTCATTTATTCAGCGAAATCCACGATTTCGACTCTTGGGCATTTGATTCCTATCCCATTGGAGAACTTACAATTACGAACGGTTTTTGAGTGTCGAGAAGAAATTGGTTGCAAGTCACTAGTGTTTTGTGTCCCAGCCGGTATATTTGAGATTGGGCCTTGGGTAGTCTGAATGTGGTCTCTAATCTCAGGTTTAACCGCAGTTTCAGTTTTTTTGTCTAAGTCAACGCTGTCTGATTCCGTTTGAGTTTTGAGATTATCCGAAATAATTATGTAACTCCCTACATGTCTGCAAGAAAAACCTTATACCAATCATTCCCAATTGCTATTATCAGACGTATCCGACGTAATGAAACAAGATTCATTGCAAGCAGTTTAACATGACGTTTACTGACTTCTTAATTTTGTAGATCTTGCAGGTTGTCTTCTCGACGAGTTTTTCGGCTCTTTCTCTTTGGTGGTTCATTTGAATAAGTAAGCAATTCTTTCTGTTTGAGCTTTAGTCCTAGCATGTGAGTTTTTTTATTACTAGCATGTGAGATTTTATTACTAGGGATTTTGAAAATGAACCCTGAATCAAGGTTGTCTGGGGAGCAATTGTACGGGTAATCTACGGTGGAAGCGGAATCTCCGTGACGGTAATCTCCAGTAGTGAGAGATTGTTTTTTTTCTATTTTTTCTTACCTTCGTTGAAACTAGCATAGGGAAGTAAAAGAATGTTGCCCTGAAAAATCCGTGTTTTTTTCTAACCTATTTTGATCAAATTTATGTGAAAAAAATTAACCAACGGAATTCAAATGTTCAACGCTCCTATTGCTTCCTCTTATCCGTCGGATTGCAATTCTCTGAGGCTGAGATTCGTCTGTATAACTGTCTTCAACCCGATCATCATTTTGCAGTTCAAATGCTCTACGCTTAGAGGTGAGTGACTTTCTTTAACCTAAAAAATCAATAGAGTAACTTGAAGCGAATGATTTCTAGATTGTATTCCGCTTTCTGCCGAAATTTTAACCTAAGATTGGACAATTGAATGCAAATTCCAAATATTCCGTGTCGTTAAGAGTGGGTCTAGAAGAATCAAAGGACATTGCCGAAATTTTTATTTTAACAGTTTTTACTAGTTTTTTTTATCCGTTGGATCTGTGGTCGACGACTACAAAGTTTTTAATTAAATACATTTAAATCGTAAAAACATCTAAAATCCTAGATTGCTGATGAAGGAGCAGTTCGGTGCCTATGATTGGTTCAAAATTCTGTGAAAAAATGTATACTTTTGGTTGAAGACGAAAACCTCACTCGCGCCAGGTTTTTGGAGTTGAGTTCATCTCTATTGCGAATTTTATTTTACCCAAAGTGGATGGATTAATTACATTTTTTCAATAACTTTTCTTAACAGATTCTATACAATTCAGGCCAGATTTAAAACAATTTGAATTCAAAGATAAAACTTGAAAAAAAATTCTTGTGAAATTGATATCAGAAAAAACCCAACGGAACACAATTTGCGAAAAAAATTCATAGCGGCTGTGATTAAAATTGCAATATTCAAGAGTGAAAATTATAATAGAAGCCATAACTTGATTCAGTATTAGAAACCACGGCATACAACTCAGATTTTCTATCCGCGATTTCAGTTCAGCTCTATTTAACCCGGAAAAGATTTATCCAAAGAAAGTCTAAAAATTTAGTAAGAATTTTTTCCGCCAAAAGTTGAATTGGAAAACTGAATGGGAGAAGTGCAAATTACAATGACTTCTCGAAAAAGCTTTATGATCCGTGAAAGTCTCTGAACTGCATATGTCCTTATGATCCGTTGGGAACCGTTAGTGGAGTAGTTTGATTCGTGTGGGATTAAGAGTTTTAACAGGAAGAATACCATTTTTCAGTTGTTCCCGTGGAGTTGTTCTAAAGGTGCTTCAAAGCTGCTTTATGAGGCATCGGATTTACTTTTTGTTGAAAATTTAATGTCAAAATGGCTGTCATCATTGACAATTACTTTGTCTTATTAATTTTATATAAATGTAAAGTTATGGCTTCGTTTTTAGTAGAATGGAGACTTTTTGTTTAACAAAGGTATTAGGGGACTACCATGAATTATTTAAGTTCATATGCTGGTTTGTTGAACCGAAACAGGAGCTTACGAAATAACTCTTTTGAGCTACTTAACGGCAAAATTGAAAATATCTAATACCGAAAATTTTGTTCGCAACTTTTCTATGACCAGAAAATTTTACTATTGAAGACGATTCAAATGTCTTAAAAAACAATTTGCACGGAGTTTTTACTAGTTAAATATCCTTTTCGAGTTATTTGGGTAGATCGCCAAACCCGTAAAAAACAACTAAGAAAGGTTCGGGTTGTAATGCCATCAACAATGCTTTAAAGTTTACTTGAGCACAAAGCCTACTAATAATGTTCACTTATAAAATTTTAAGGAGGCAGTTAACTACACGCATTTTTCAGCAAGGTTTTGCAAACAAAATATCTCCGGCAGGCTTCTGAGATAAATTGACGTCGAAATTAGTTTCTAGCGCATGTTAGGCATCTGAGATTTGTTCTTGTAGGATTGTTTGTTAATGAGTTTCGAGTCTACAGCTGGTTTTATAGATTTGTCTTTCTTACAAGTTATAATAAAGGGACTAAGAAAATGTTCTTCGTTGCAATTGTGGTCTAGAAAATTCGTCTTTGATTGAGTCTTTTGAATGTACAGAAGTACTCTTCTTTTTTTAGCTGGATGGATTTAACGGATCAGGCAGTGTGTAAATTTCTTTTGGTTCTCGGTTTCAACAGTTTTTGATGTTCTCGTTTTTGAAGGGAACATATGTTTTATAGAACTAATTGACTTACTACGTCGAGACAATATCTGGTACGAGCAACTCTTCTTGAGGACTGCGATTACATCTCTGGATGGGTTATCGTTAGCGAGAAGGTTTTTTTGGTGGTCTTCTGCTACGACGAAATACCAATCTTTGTTGCACTACACGTTTGAAGAAATTGAAGCAGAAAATATCCAATTTATTTTGATCGCCGTATAGGTAAGCACGCACTTTTGTAGCTTCAACTACAGGATGTAGACAAACTTATGGAACTCTCAACGGTAGATTAGAACTGAAAGTTTATGGAAAATTTTGCGATTTTTTTTTTGCGAGGGAAATTTTTGGTAGTTTTTTGATTCTTCATTATCCTGGTCATAAACAGACGTGACGAAAAGCACAGTGCGTTTGTGTTTTTCCTTTTTTCCTACTTTGGATTTTGCGTTAATCCGTTCACAGCGTTTAATATGTGCTTTATCAGTATTTTCAGCGTTGTGATATGAGCAATTTTTCGACTATTCTATATAAAAATTGACTATTTACAAAGTTTCTTTTTTGAAATTTGGATTTACAATTTTCCGCAATGGATTTTTTGTATTCACAGGTTTTAGCAAGTAGCGTTTTTTGCTTGACAGATTGTTGGATGTGTTTACGAAAAAACTAACCCGCAACGGATACATGGGTTTTCTCTCTGAATATGTAAGGCGAGCTCTTGTGACATTTAATTGTCTGTTTTTTTGTGAACAATTTTTTTTCTCGAAAAACTGAGTTGTTAACTTTTTTTCAAACGATCGCTTCTTCCGTTTTTTTATATAAAAGTTACGTTCAGTGCTTCCATTGACGATGGTGTCTC